CTTCTGAACATGATCATTACATATTAATGATGATTGAGACAAAAGAAGTATTAAATATATAATTCAACACTTCACTTCAAACAATTGGGAACTCAATTATTTTAACAAATAAATCCAATCTAAACCATTCAATCATCACACTTTATTTCTCTTCACATGCTCGCAGAAAAGAAATAATGTTTGAGCATTCTTTTAATCAACTCAAATCAACAAGTTGCCAAATAATGCATTAAACAAAGCACTTTTATAATCAACCAAAGCTTTGATGATATCATCAAATAATTCAAAATAATACTTAAGGTCCCAATCACTTATGCCATACGCATGGATTAAAACCAATTTGAACAAATTCATTCATCATACACAAAGTCCAATTGGTAAACCGAACCATATTTGTTTCCAAATCGTATACAAAAAATAATCAAATTGTACCGGAACCTTTATAGTAAATCCCAAAATAAAACGAAATCATAATTTGATATCGTAACCGTAAATCGATTCCCGAATATTCAAGATGAAGAGGCTCTGATACCAATTGTTAGAATTGGATATAACTTTATTCGAAATAAATCAATTAATCCCAAAAGCGTTCATATTGAATAATTAAGAATCATAACCGAATAGCAGAAGCGTACCTGATATATTTATGTTGATTTATTTCTTCAAAACTTGGGATTTTGGAAATCTTTCAAAAGACCGTGATCTTTATTTTCTTTATTTTCCTTATTCTTCTTTCTTAAACGCATGAAAGAAAGGAAGACCAATTGTCATTTATAGATAATTGTTGGGCTTCATTTATTGCTCATCTTACTTCCACGAGAAGAATTAATAATTGAATTCACAATTGAAGATAAACAATATTTTATAAATGCCCCTCTATTTATCACGACTTTTGGGGACTCCACCCCTAAATATTTTGACCCAAATTATATATTATTTAGGTCCTTTAGTTTAATATTATTATTTGCTACGTCACCAAATAATAATATTACCGGGTGTCCACATTTAATCATTCCACAATCTAAATTAAGTTCCTTAGCCAATGTACAATAATTTGATCACTTAATTTGGCTAAACGATATAATGACCTAATGTATTAATTACACATATTTAATCCCCAAATAGATCTAACAATATACCCTTGGAACACCCATGTCCATCCGGCACTTAGGAGCTCAGCCAAGAATAGACGTGCACAACTTTCTAGCCGAAGCTTGGTTGGGCTCAGTCGAGCATTGCACCTCCTTCTCCAGCCGTCCCTAACATGACCATCTCAAATGAAATTCTTCAGCCTGTATGTGCAGCACGTTCGGTGTGCCTGACATCCAACATGGCCATCACCCGGATCGACATGGCCATGTCCAGCATGTTCGGTCAGGCCGCCGACAGCAGGACCGAGAGCAGCAACCGCCATGTCCAACACCCGTTTGACATGTCCCTGATGCACATGGCCAGAGATGGTGGCTTTGTTGGACCAAGAGCTCGTGGCGATTGCCGGCGGCGATCTCGGCGGAGGAGAAGGGGAATTTCGGCCTTGAAAATTGGGAGTTTATATGGATGTTATATAAGATAAAATGCATGTGTGCATTAGTTTTTTTTGTTAAGATATCTACAAATATTTGGCAAAAAAATCTGACCAAATCTTTAAGTGATTAGAAATAGATAAGTTCAAATAGACTGAAATCAATAATTAAAATATCCAAAAAATTCGAATTGATGACTGACAGGCATATTCAATATTTTGGAAAAAAAATTACTCATTATAGTAAATCTTTAGGCGGGAATTGAAATATTTTTTTTTTTTGATTTTTTCTTGCTATTTCACGTAAATATCATTCCTCTTTTATATTAATAGATAACAAAATATATTATAATTTTTTTGATTTGGCATTTCGACAAATAGTTCGTTGGTTTATCCTCGATTATCAAAATTATTTATTATTTACTTACATATTTTTACAAGTGAAGCCAAACTAGGCAGGGATTGCGGATAAGTGAAGTTGCTCGAAGAAAATTTTCGTCCATGGTGTCTTGCTCCTTTTGAGCGCACTCTTCCTTGATTTCTCGTGTTTATACTTCTTAAACTTTGCATCCCGAACACGGAACCTCCATTCCGTGTCATTTTATGGTCGATTTCACCTGTTTGGGCGAGATTCTAAGGTGTACGATCAGATTTTTGTGCACAGCGGTCTGCGAATTTGTGCTCCTCTTTATCCGAAGTTTCTCGTTCTTGCTACTGAAATCCTGTAGTCAGCCCTTGTACCCTCCATTCCGAGCTGCTTCACGCTCGAATTTCCAGCTTTTGGGCGCGATTAGAGCCATGTTCTTCTTCTAGGGTCACGCTGCTACAGTAAGTCGAGCGTGCAGCAAAATTGGGGCAAAATGGTTAAGAACAAGAAAAAGACCATCTTTAGGAGGATGACAGCCGAGGAATCCTTTGCCACGAATGAAATTGAACAGGGTGCTGCCACTTCTTCAAAATGTAAGGGCATTACGCTAGATGATACTAAAGAGCTTGATGAATGTGGTATGGGGTACAAGATAGCTGCTGGTAGCTTTAATCAAGCTACCGAAAAGGACGCACAAAAGGTGTTTGACGAAAAGCCTCGGAGGGATTCAGCTGCACTTTCTGCTGAAAATCGCAAGCTTTCTAATGGCCTCAAACTTTCTTACACTCCATCATTGGGACACGGAGTCATCTTGGACAACGAAGACATTTCGGACGTCACCGATTCATGGGGCTTTTGCCTCGTTGGCTACTTCACCAACCGTCACCACCCAGGTAAGGAGGCACTCCTTAATATATGTAACTCGTGGAATGTCAAATACGATTATCTTCCGAGCATTAATGGATGGATACTCTTCAAATTCTCATGCTCAGAGGATAGAGACAAGGTCCTCTACGAGAGCCCTTACTTAATAAACGGGCGGTGGCTTCTCTTGAAGGTGCTTCCCGATTGGTTTCAATTTGGCGAAGATGACGTCAAAATAATGCCCGTTTGGATTAAATTGCCTCTTTTGCCTCCCGAATGTTGGAATGCCAATGCCTTGGGGAAATTGCTCTCGGTTAGGCAAGCCAATCATAACGGACAAATTAACCGAGGCCAAAGAGAGATGCAACTATGCTTTCGAGAGTCTTTAGCATCGACGTTTCTACTAGAAAGGGAGTCTCGTTCACTCAAAAGGTGAAATATGAATATGTCCCTTCTTATTGCAACTTTTGCAAGTATATTGGACACTCTCTTTCTAAGTGCGAGAAGAATAAAGCTCACCTCATCATGAGGAAGGAGTTAGCCAAGGAAACCCAATTGAAGAAGGGGGTCACCTCTTCCTCCAAACAATAATTATTGCCGCATGGAATGTTAGGGACTTCAAAGCAGAATGAGGTTGCTAGCCTCATCCGAAAGAATAACATTGCTTTTTTTTGATAACTTTGAAGTAGTGGCATCTGGCAAAAGTGGACCTCCTAGTAGGAGACATCCTACCTAAGTCATTTCTATCACTATCACAAGCAAGGTCAGCATTCATCATTTCTTTGTCAGCTTTGTTTATGGACTCGATAGCAGGGGGGGTCAGAAGCATCTTTGGCGTGACTTTTTTTAAAATTTAATTTCATTCAAGGATGTATTTATGAGATTATCTGTGGATGAAATAACTATTGGTGGCAAGGATCCTCAAATTGCTGCAGTTGTTAAAACAAGCATAATTATAATCCAGATCTATCTTAGTGAGGCCACTTATAGGCCTGCAGTATAATGGTACTGAGCTAGACACTGAATCAGCTTGAGATTCTCCATATTGTTAAAATGTGTCAGTTTGTAGACATACAATAATGTATCGTCAAATACTCAAAATTTCGCCTGCACATTTTTGTTTCGCTCTTGTTTTTTCATCTTGATTATGGGGTACTTGCAGCCATTGTACTTCAGATTAACTCTTGAATTTCACATAATAGCATACAAAACAACCCCTAAATACTTGTAAAGTATTATACCTCAAGAAAACCAGGTCATCTCATTTTCTTTATGTTTTCTCAGATATGTTTGTCAGTGTTGTATCTGATGGGTAAATTAACATAGAATATATCGAAAAAAAAAAAAAAGGGAATTGAAGTTGATCGATCGACTTAATTCCGTATTATTTCTTGTATTGATTACTCTAGACAACATGACAACACTTTCATCAAATGCTAGAATTGAAGGGAAAAATGTTACATTGCTGCTGCTTGTGAAGCAAACATTCCAGGCTACAAAACAGACAGAACAGACTAACTGAAATGTCAAGTGTAATCTTTAAAATGGTTCAGAAAGTAAATGAAAAATACAGATCGGTTATTGCATTTTTGCTCTTGCGAACATTACTCCTGCTAACAAGCCTACAAAGATGACAGAGTTTACAGCTGGTTATGGTGATTCTTTTAAACATGAGATTATTTGGTAAGCAAAGCACAGTTATAGAAACTTACCAAAGAATACACTTGCTGAATTTTCCAAGCTTGTTGGGACATTGAAAAGAAGGATCCCAGCAACAGAAAGAGGTATCTTATTCAGTGACCCCACAAGACTGCAGGGTGTGAAAAACACAATTTTTATTAAGAACCCAACTGAACAGAATCAAGGGTGATTAAAGCAGCCACTATTTAATTTCCCAGTTCTAAAGCAGTGCCTACAAACACTCATCAGCTTTTAACTTACCTTCAATTTATAGTGTTCATAGATATCTGAACTTTCTTGTAGCTAGATTTTCACATACACATAAAACACTTCCCCATCTTGATTATCAGATATTTTTTGGTTTCCATATGCAAACACTATTTATTTTGGAAATCCGACTAAACAGAAAAACAATACCTCTAAAAGTAGAAGTTTCTGCAAACCAATCTCTCGATCCATAACAAGATTCGTAACAAGTTCTATATCATGCTCATAGCAAATCAAATATTCGAACACTATGCTTTTATGGGGCCATAAGAAAACAGATAAACATAACGTAGAAAAGTTGGTACCTGTAAGTGGTAGCTCCAGTTTGATGGAGGAACCACATTGACGTGAAGCTAATTGCTAGACCCAACAGGCCACTAAAGGTCATCACCAGCCAGAAAGTCGGCAATCTCAACAGTGGCCTACCATTGCCCAACAAAAATAGAACAAAAAAAAAAAGGTAAGCTTGGAATTTATCAACCATTTGAATTTTTTTTAGGGTTTAAACAAGAATAGAAAACAACTGCCAGAAAATAAGCAAAAGTGGTTTCTCCTATAAAACCTTGCGATTTACATGTTTCACCTTATCTCTTAAGGCAACCAATAATGCTATCAGATTTATAAATTTCTCCAAAATTCTCCATAGAGAACTTAATAGTGGATCAAACTTATCTCAATTGTTCTGAAACTACCAGCACTCCAAAAGAGAAGGATTTTCCAAGCAAAAACACTCAACAACACTTAATTTGATATCTTCAACCTGACTGTTTCCAAAAACTTCACTTTAAAAGAAACATCAATGATTTATCACTCAGAGGAGTTTTTATTTAATTTTTTGTCATGAAAAGCTTTACTTCAATGAACACACACATATGCATACTTTAGTGTAAACCAAGCAAAACAATATTATCTACTACAAATGGAAGGCATCAGGTACAATGACGAACAGTTTACTTACGTTTGCGAAAGGTATTCAACTTCATTGAACATAAACATTAGACAAATTCCCAGAGGCAGTGAGAGGCTATTGTTTAGCATGACCATGGAGAACTCATTCAATTCCCCAGATTTAGTGACTTGCTTGGCAGTATCCATTATCCTACGCAAAGTCAACTGCATGAGAAAAAGACAAAATATAAGAAATTATAGCACTGCCTTCATGGATAACTGCTTAGCATGGTAACTCGAGATAAAAGATTCTTCAACTCCTGAAAAATTCAAGAACTGACATATTACTTACAGAATATGATGCTGTCAGAAAACAATTAACAAACTGCCATGCATATCCAACAGCATGAAATGCGAGATCTGTGAACCCTCCCGATATTGCTGAAATGATCTGTATAGGAGATTTAATTCAATACAAACTTACCAAGTAGAAAAAATACTGTCAAATATAAAGGGACTGTTTTCACAAGGATATCACTTCAAAGTTCAAGTAAATATCATTATAAAATCTAAAAAAGTTTGTGCTTGTTTGTGTACAGTGAGTTGTGATAACCAACTATACTGTTGCAACAAATGTACACTATTCAGTTAGACAGTTGATGATACTATAATGTAAAGGACAATCAATTATGCAAAAGAAAAAGACTAAAATTACCAGGAAGTCATCAACAGAAATGTAATTACTTTGACGGAATAAATACTCCTTAACATACCATTAAAAAAAGGGCTGCCCAAACTCTATTATCATGATGCTTATTGAACAAATACATTTCGCCAACAGCCGTTATCACATTGGTTACATTCTTGAGAACCGTAACCATGGCAACATTAATGTACTTCAAACTGCAATACAAAGGAAAAGATTCTAAGGGAACTTTTAAATCAAGGATGAAGCAAAACCATAAACTACTTTTTTTATGATATCAAGAGGACACAAATATACGTGGAGGTAAAAAGATATTTAATAAAACAAGTACCTAAACATACTTGTGACCAGCATCCCCACAAATATAATATTAACCGGTATCCACACCTTGATCAATCTCCATGTAAGTGGTTCCGTCGTAACTATTCCAAGAAGACTTAAAGTGGAAACAATAACTACTGATACAAAATTCTGCAAGCACGAAATAATTTTATCATCAGCCTTTTAAAAATATAAATTATTCAAAACAACTGAAATTATAGTAATTCCAGCAAAACGAAATTGAAACTGGAAAGTTATTAATCATGAAGAAAACTGAAGAGTTTGCTACGGAGAGTAACCTGGTAAAGCATCAAAGATATTCCAGCATTAAAGTCATAACTGGAGAGGACATATTTGTTGACCAATATCATACCGCATGAAGACAAACAGTAGGCGAGTCCGGATAACAAGGCCTGATTGTGGAGTATAAGTCCTCTTTTGTTTCTCAGAGCCTTTTCCCGGTCTTTTTCTAACCTCCCATTTTCAACATCGGCGTCATCTTTATTAATTGGATTCTTCATCCCTAAAAAGGCTCTGTAAACAAGCAGCAAATGGATCAACCATTATTACGAAAACCTTTCTAATCATAGCTCAAATCTTGATACCAAGAATTCAAACTGGACCTTTAAGACGTGAAAATATGGCCAGAAGAGATAAGTCAAAATCTGGTACATTATAAGTGTAGCATTAAGTGTTCCATCAGGGGGACAGCAAAGCGCAGGGGAGCAATAAAAGTTTATTGTGATTGTATGCATGTATATATGTGCAATATCAAGAACGGAAGAAAAATAAAAAGTAAAAATAATAAAGAAGCAAACAGAAAAGCATACTTGTTAGATGTTTTCCTTTTGACTGGACTCGAGACCTGGTCTACTGAGCCATTGAGATGGCTTCAACCTCCATTTGGGGAAATCCACATCCGAAAGGTTATATTCCTCTTTGAAAAATAGGATCCAAGAAAGTTCAGAAAAGAATCCAACGATGATGCTATATCAAATTGGGAAAATTGATTCAATATCTGCCGCAGATTATGGGAGTAAATCACAACATTAGTAGGTTTAAAGTTGGCAACATATTAAAAACGATTTTCATAAAGGAACCACAAATAAATGACACACAAATAAAAAGGAAAAAAAGAAGGGCAACAATAAATGCACAGTTTCATATCGGACAACGTACAAACTACTCCAAAACAAAGAAAACCCACTAGGCACGAACAAAAATGAGCACCAAAAAATATCCTATTCTTCATCTTGGGATCCAAAGCCCGATCCTTCGGCCCGTAAAAGCATACAGTTCCATCAATAAAATTTGGGACAAACCAAAATCAAATGATAACAGTTGAAATTTCATGAGGATAGTTCCTTTTTCATTCAAATGATCAAAAGAACGAATTTTTTAATGCAACTAATACAAGACACACAACGACTTCAATGAAGATGGAACAGAAAAAAATTCAAAATCAGACACTAAACAATCTCATTCCATTCGCATAAAAAACGCAAAGGCACGAAGTGAATTAGAAAAAACCATACCTTGGAGGCGTTCACAACACAGAAAACACGAGCTGGTCTACTCTCTTTTGTATTGAATATTTTGCTAAAAAGGAAGATGAGCTGAGCCTACTTTATGTAAAATGGACGTCGAGCACTAATAAGCAGTATCAATCACACTGCAACAGCCCAGCGAGAGAAACAAAGTCAAAGTTCGCATAAACAAATTGAAAAGCTTCGCGGAATTACAAAAATATTTATTTATTTATTTTTTGGGTCGTTCAATTTTGGGTTTGCCGAAAGCTGAATGCGCTTTCCTCTGGAAAAGGAGATCTTTTGTTTCCTTGTTAACGCGCTTTTAAGTCCTGCAATTTGTTCGATACGCGACGTCGTATCTGGCCTTGAGAAAACCAAATTAGGTCTTTATAAGTGTATCAAGATAAATGAACATACTAATCATAGAGAAAATTGTAATTTTCGTCATGTTTTTTTGCAGACGTAACTTTTTTTAACTTTCCGAATTGTTATTTTAAATTTTGTCCTTTATATTTATAAAAAGGTTCTTAAAAAATTTTCTAACACGTTAGAAATTCATAATATGACCGGAAAAAATCACGTGAGCCGCACGTGACATGTTTAACGGTCCATTTTATTTATGTGGAACCGAAATTCAAGCATGATGCCAATAAATTACAAAAGGTGTTCTAAAATTAAACCAAAAAATTGCAATTTCCACATGGAATTAGAAGCTTGAGAATAAAAACAGGTTTTGTAAGGTCAACTCAAAATCAGATCAGAAATCTAAAATTTCTAAATCCTCGAACTAAATCTTTTGCATTAGAAGCTTTTTTCTTCCCACGAGATTCGGCATTATGACTTTGCCACATTTCCCTCATTTCAGACTTGTTTGCTGCCTTTTCATCCTCATTTTAACGTTCCTCTTTTGCCTTTTATATTTTTCATCATTAGACTTCATTATTCTCACTTTTTTGCCCACCTACATCTCTCCCAAATGTGGAGGCAAAGGTGCAATGAATGAGTTTGGTTCCACAACACTTGACAATTAATCTACACAAAGTTACATCATCTCCCAACAATCAAAATGATATACACATTTTATTTCCTACACAATCAAACAAAGTACTATTACAATTCAGTTTAGAACCCTCCATATAATCATAAAGTGTAGAATGCATAAATTGTCCTCCACACTATAGAAACTTGAGTCATGTGATCTCTGCTTTCTATGGAACNNTAAAATGAGCCCAACAATATGAATTGGCAAACCACATAAATGTATTTTCAATCAAAAATTATGGTTTTTACCATATTAGGATTTGAAATTAGGGTTTGAAATAAAACCCTAATTTCGCTTCAAAATTAGGGTTTACAAAAAAAAAACCATAATTTCATTTCAAACTTATGGTTTTCATTTAAGATCTCTGTATTGAATTTAGGGTTCTCAATAAAAAATAAAGAATCCATTGCACATATATGATTTCCATAAACAAACAAACAATTTCTTTTAAAAATTAGCACTTACCGTATGTGGGCACCCGTAGTGTGTCTGAATCTTATTTAAGATGAAAACTTTCTCTGTAATCATTTGAAAATGATTTCAACATTCCTTTCTCCAAGACTTAATTTCGAATTTTTGGTATTTTGGAGTAATTAACAGAGTGAGAGGGTGGAGTAATTGCTTTTTGAGTGAGGCTGGGAAGGAAACTTTGATCAAGTCTATATTAAAAGCTTTGCCTACTTATGTCATGTCCTGTTTCAGGATTCCAACTTCTATTTGCCATGACATTTGTAAGGAGATAGCTAACTTCTGGTGGGGTGTTTCTGAGGGTGTAAAAAACAAAATTCATTAGTGTGGGTGGGAGTGGTTGTGTAGACCCAAAGAGGAGGGAGGGATGGGATTTAGAGATTTCAAGGTTTTCAATGAAACTCTAATAGCTAAACAACTATTGAGGATCATCACTAAACCTAATTTGCTGGTGAGTAGAGTCCTTAAAGGTAAATATTTTTGGAAATAAAAGCTCTTTGAGGTCCAAGGTAAGAGTAGTGGTGATTCATGGTTTTGGAAAAGCTGGTTGAAAGCCAGGCTTTCCTTGAAAATGGGGGTTAGATATCAAGTGGGTAATGGACAGAGTATAGATGTCTAGGACTCACCTTGGCTTCCTCACACTAAAAACTTTACCCCAAAATTGCAATTTGAGATTGATAGATTGAGAATAAAAAAAGTGAGTGATTTGTTTCTGGCAAGCAAACAGGATTGGGATGCTAACCTTGTTCTTCAAACTTTTTCACTTGAAGATGCAGCTCAAATTCTGAAAATACCTATAAGCAATGCAGGTCAAGAAGATAGAGTGGTGTGGCACTGGAATACCAAAGGGCTTTTCACAGTGAAGGATGTCAACAAATTCCTCTGCAATCACAAGTTGCAACATCAACTGGCAGGTGGTTCCACTGCTAGTGAGCACAAAACTCAGATGATGTGGAGGAAGACATGGAAGCTCCCTGTGAAACACAAAGTTAAAAACTTCCTCTAGAGGTGCTGGTATGGCTTCTTGAACGCTAACTCTTAGCTTAATCATAGGAAGGGATATTATCTGTTTTGTGTGTCGAGAATAACCAGACGACCTTGAACATATATTGTTCAGAAGTAATAGAGCTATCAACTGTTGAAAGCTTAGTGGTCTGCATTGGAACCACTTTGACAGAAAAAACTGGTCCTATAGAGATTGGTGGGAGGATTTGTGCACTGGCAAAGGAGAAGACTGTTTCCAAAATAGAATCAACCTCTCCACATACCTCTTGTGGTGGCTGTGGAGAAAAACAAAAATCTTAGCTATTTAACAAGGAAAAAATTAGTGATAAAGATGTGGTGGATGGGGCATGGAAAGAGTGGAGGGAATTTGAGATGGTTGTTGTTGAGAAGAAGACAATGTTGGGTGGAGTGGAACCTGTCAATCTAAGGGATGTTGACTCATCTGGGCAAAGAGTAGGGCAGGTAATTGTTACTGTCAGTGCTAGTTTGTTTCCAGATGGATTTGTTGGATTTGGGGGCAGAGTGGAATTAGGTGGTGTCATCATGCATAGTTTGCAAGCTTGTACTGAAAAAGCTGATACCTCTATAGAAGCTAACTTGAAAGCGGTTCGTTGGGTTCTTGCAAAGCTTCAAGAAGCAGGGATATCAGATTCTATATGTTGTTGTGTTGACACTCATCACATGGCTGTGCTGCTGAATGATCTAGATGGGGTAGATTGTGCTTTTGTGACTATTGCAGCTGATATTAATGTATATGTAAACTCCTTGAAGAGCTTCTTATTTTTCTTGGACAAATTTGCTTGCTTTGCTTCTCTTTCATTGGCCTTAGAGGTTTTCCAGAGGGACTAATGTAGTCTTCTCATGCTCGTAGTTGCACATTTGTTGGGTGTCTAGGTAGCTCGTATTCCTTTGAATGCTCGATGTAAGACATTATTGCTCTGAGTTTTATCTAGTTTGTTTGAAAAAAAAAAAATGGATTTCAGAATGATTTCAAATTTTCTGATCTCTCATCTAAAATCGATTACAAAGTGTTAATGTTCCTTTTCATATTCCCTCCCTTTCCACGTGGTAATTGCAAATTTTTTGTTTAATTTTAGAACGCCATTTGAAATTTATTGGTGCCACTTTGGAATTTTGGTTTCACATAAGATTAAATGGACCGTAAAACATGTCACTAGACATGACAATGGGCTGACCCAGCCCATCCTGGAATTGGCCTGTGGTAATGGGCCTAGAGCCGAGCATGTAGTTTGACCGGGCCAATTCCGCGCCTCATGTAGAAAATTTTTTAGCCCAGCTGACTGAGTCCAGGCTGGCCCGGAACATGCCCGGAGACGGCCCTCTGTATTTTCCATTTTGTTTAATTCTGTGACTCGGAAGGCCGGTGCCGGCGAAATCCGAAGTATTCGAACACCACTTCATGAAGTTGCCCGATGAGAAAAGGTGAGAAATATATTATACATTTTTGCAACTATTGTCCGGCCAACTACAAGAAGAAGTGTGCTTTCAAAACTGGCGATGGGTACGGAACGTTGATACGACACATAAAAACATATTATCCAACCAAAATGGGGATTCCCACGACCCAAACGCAATTCCCAGGCGTGAGTAGCACTGCATACACAAGTGTGTTTTCTATTTTATTCCAATACTCCCACAAAAACCATAGAAAAAAACTAGTTGAATTTGTTTGTGGTTCGTCTCTTCCTTTCGGTTTTGCTGATTCTGATTTATATGAAAATTTTGCTCAAATGGCTCTAAACCCATCTTCGTTTCAGATTTCACGTACTACTCTCACTCATGATATTTGGAAATTTGTGAGTGAGAAAATATTAATTTTGGCACAACTTTTGAATATTTAAACCAAAGAATTTCTATTTGTTGTGACACTTGGTCTGACCATTGGCTAGATAATTTTTACATGAGAATACATGTCATTGGGTATATGATAGTTTTACATTACAAAAATGTTTAATTGTTTATACGGGATTTTCTAATGCTCACAATGCTTCTAATATCGCTTGTTTAATTTCACTTGTCTTGAATACTTATAGAACTGGTAATTTTTTTTTTTTTTTTCCATTTCTTATGATGTTAATGCTAATACAACATCTATAGGTCGAGCCTAAGGAAAATTTTCGTCTCCTTTGTAGGGAATTTTCTTTTTTCATATTTGGTGTATGTGTCATGTCCTTAATCTTTGTATTCAAGTGAGTTATCATGCTTTGAAAGAGGTGGTCACGCCCATTAGGAATGTCGTAACTTCTTTACATCGTCATCAGCAAGAAATGAAAAAATGGGGACAATATTGTAGAGAACAAGGTTATACAACTAAAAATTTCCGACCGGACGTTCCTACCTGTTGGAACTCAACTTATAAAATGTTAATGAAAACGTTTGCATATTGTTCTCAATTAGATGAATTTTTTACGAGTGATCAACGTAAGGATGATTGTGATGTCTCAGTTAGTGTCGATGACTGGTTAAATTGTCAAACACTTGAAACTTTTAGAAACATTTCAAGATGCTACTAACGTACTTTTTGGTGTTTATTATCCTATTGCTTAACTTTTTGTAAGTCAATGTGTAGCAGTAATGTGGAGCTTTCGAGTATTTTTATTAATGATCATGACAATCATGATAAACATGACAAACTTGTAAAAGAGATGTTAAGAAAATAGTTAAAATATTATTTTTTCATTCTCAATACAATTTCCGTTGCATCTTTATTAGATCTATCATCACGTGAACAAGGGTTGCTCAACCAACTTCACACATATCATGATATTATGTATCAACGCCCACTTCTCACTGATGTCCCAGGTACCAGTGTAATACCTAACCCACAACAGCTTGTAGAGCAAGCAAAACTTTTATTATATGAATTGTTTAGTGAAACAACAATTGAACTCGGGGAAAATCCGGTGTCCTTTTCTTTAACTGCTTCCGGGTCTTCTTCTTATGGACAATGAGGACAGACGACGCAACAAGACCAAACCTCCGATGACTGGTAGGATGACTTTAATTCCTATGATCTAAAGGGCAAAGGGGACTGGATACAGTGAGCTCGATTACTACATCACGGCGAATTTGATACTTATCATTTCTCATGAACCAGTTCCACCACAAAAGTTCGACGTCTTAGATTGGTGGTCAAAGATGACTCTCATTTATCCAATTCCATGCTTGATGGCCAAAGAGATTTTTGTTGTACTGCCCTCGACAGTGGCGGTTGAACAAGCATTCAACGAGGGAGGATATACACTGGACGCACGACTGTCGAGGTTGACGTCGAAAAACCTTGAGGCTCCAATGTTGTTGGGTGACTGGAAGAAGCCCGAGATGAGGGCACAAAATTGCTAGCTGTTGAAGATGATGGTGCATCCGATTTTACTGTTAGTACTAGTAGAACTGCAGAAAATAAAAAGGACTACTACACATACGACTACAATGAATAGACAATAAGTTCAATAATGCCATCTACTTTTATCAAGGTAAGTATAGTAAGAAAACTACGAGGACTTTGATTCCCAATGTAAGGGATACGTAGGCAACTTAATTGATATATTACAAGTTAAAATATTATTTTATAACCCACAAAATTCTTCAATTTAATTGATAATTCAACTTATAATATGTTAAAGTTCAATTCCTTTAACCCCTCCACCCCCCTCTCAAATGTTTTAAACAAAAACTGGCCCGGGCCGAAAAATGAAACAGATTGAAGCGGCCCCGAATTGCCGGTCTGGTGAACCGACCCAAAACTGCCGGTTTCAGTTTCGGTTCTTCCAAACCGCAACTTGGAACCGGAGTTTGGCCATGTCTACATGTCACGTGCGGCTCATGTGATTGTTTTCAGTCAAATTATGAATTTTCGGTGTGTCGAGGACTTTCTAGTAATTTTTTTTTAAACATAAGGGATGAAATTCAAAACACAAGTTCGAAGGTGATAGAAAAGTTACGTTTGCAAAACATACATGGCGAAAATTGCATTTTCTCCTAATAATATGTATTTCTTTTTTGTTGTTAGCGTAATCAATATGAGGTTTGACCCGCTAACCTGCTTGCATTGTTTCATTAGCTTTTTTAGCTTAAAATACTAATTATGATNNAAAACTCATTATATAAGTGTTTTGAGAAAAGTTCCACGAATAGCATATCAATTAAGATTTCCAAAATAACACTGTTTAACAAACAATTATTTACAAATCGTTAGTTCAATTCAGCAGTCAAATCAAATATTACAATCAAACAATACAGTTAAGTATACGCTAATAGCCAAACAAGAGGCCCACATTTTTTTTCTTTTTGTACGAATAGTTTTATTTAATTTCTAAAATCATTAATTTTTACCTTTAATAATATTGAAAGTAATATATATATATATATATAGGAATTGGATCCAATGAGTCCACATATTTAAAGTGTGTCCGTGAGACCCGATCTCAGCCCTTAATTTGTCGCTCGATCTGATGGTCAGTAGCAGCCTCTTAAATAATGATTTGGTTCGCGGTTTTATGTTGTCCCGTCATTTCAAAACGTTTGAGTTTTCAATGCTCTTTCCTCATCATTGTCTTTTTTAGTTTCCCTATTATCTTTGGCGCTCTCTCTCATCATTCTCTCAGTTTTCGACGCTATCTCAGTTTCCAAAGCTTGCAGATTCAATTTTCATCGGCGTCTTTCATCATTTGTTCTTCGCTTTCGGTTTTTATTTGAGTTATCTTCCGATTTCTCTCAATATCGTCGTAGTTGCAGTTCTGATTTCTCGCAAGTTGGTGAGTATATTTGTTTTTATTTTACTTTCCTGTGTTGTTTTGAATTTTTTAGGTTATTGTGGTTGTATATCTTCGCAATACTTGTATTTTTTTCTTTATTTGCTGATTTTGTTTGTTAAACCCTAATTTCTGCTATTTTAGTTTGACTATTGCATATATAGTATAGTAGGCATGCAACGACGTTGTTTTTTGTGCTAAATCTGTTTGATCAACCCTATTTTATGCTATTTTAGTTGATGAATAATGTATAGATAGTATTTTTTTATGCATATTTAGTTGTTTTTTGTGCTAGATCTGTTGAAAACATTTTTTTGTTTCTCGTCTCTATATTAGAGCTTGTAGAATGCATAAATATTGTATATCTTTTGCATTTTTAGTTTTAGAATGCAGGGGCAACACTCTTTGTATTGTTGCTATGTTAGTTAATAACGTATGCATATATAGTTTATGTTTCGTGCTTATTTAGTTATCAAATGATGATTGACATGTCCATATCTACCTATTGCTATATTAGTGCTCGTATGACGCATAGATAGTGAATATGTCTTTGCATGTTTTAGATCTACAATGTTCTGATATAGTTGGTTGATGTTGCATATTTAGTTTATATGAGTTGCATATTTAGTTTATATGAATTGCATATCTAGTTCATATCAGTTGCATATCTAGTTTATCTGACATGTTTTGATTTTGCATATCTAGTTCATATGAGTTGCATATGTAGTTGGTTATAATGCGCATTTATTTTTAATTAGTATATATCATATAATTTATTTAATTTTTGTGTTATTGTAAGTCAGATATTCTTGAAGTATGCCTCCTGGTAAGAGTAACAAGCGTAAAAGGGCAGATGCTGATGATATTCTGTTGCTTATTGATGGCACAAAAGGTCAGTTGGATAGTGATAAATCATTCCCAAAAGCGTTAACTCGGTCTTCTCCAAAGATTCTTGTGGACGCTATGAAATCTTTTAACCAACAACAGCGAATAGTTGTTGAGCAAATGGGTTTTGGATGTCTGTTTGGTTTAAAAATTAAAGAATTTCTGACTCAGTTGGTGCACTGGTTGTTGTCGAACTTTGATTCTGTTAGTTGCCAGCTTGAATTTGGGAAAGGAAGAAGTATTCATGTCTCATCTTTGGACGTTCAGCATATTCTAGGCTTCCCCAATGGTGATAAGCCTATTGAGAAGAAAAACAAATCTGAGGAGTGTCATTTGTTGAATTATTGGAAGGGTTGTTTTAGCCAGTCTTCATTGAAAGTTACTCACGATGTTGTATGCAATAAAATGATGGAGTGTGTTGATGGAGATTACTGGTTCAAGTTACATTTTCTTGCTCTTGTGGATTTTCTGATTGTGGGAACAAATCAATCTGGATATGTGAATCCTCTTTTTTTTCAAGACTACCTCTGATGTATCAACTGTTTTTGAGTTGAATTGGTGTGACTACATCATTCAAAACCTTATATCAAAGACTGATCACTGGCACAACAGTAATAAGTCTCAATTTAATGGTCCTGTTCTTTTTCTTGTGGTAAGTATTCATCTCTATATTATTTTCTTGTAAATTGTTTAGATTGTTATTGATTGATATTTTTATTTATTTATTTAATTATTTTGTTGTCAAAACACGGGTTTTATATGTTGATCGGGTAGTGATTTATGAACGAGATGTTCTTCCAAGGAGTCTGCCTTTGTTTGTTGGATGGAATTGTGAGATTCTCTGTCGACGATGCTCTAAAGAAATTAAGGTGGGTGGTTTTGGACGGGGATTTGTTGATGAACCGATGGAGATTTCGGCTTTACAGTTCAAGAAGCCTGAATCAAAGGATGTTTCTGATGATCCTGTACAGGTTTGTTATTTCTTTGTTTGGTTTTTGTTGCATATTTAGTTAATATGACTTGCATATTTAGTTGTTTCTTTTATGATGCTTAGTTCATAATAGTTGCATATTTAGTTCGTTTTTATTGCATATTTAGTTAATATGACTTGCATATGTATTTCATATGTGTTGCATATTTAGTTCATATGAGTTGCATATTGTGTGGTTAATGCTTAGTTCATTTTGTTGTGCATGTTTACTTCTTATGTATTGCATATGTACACCTATTTTGATGCATATTTAGTTGATTTTGAATGCTTATGTGCTTATAATTTGTACATCTTTTATGATGCTTAGTTCATAATAGTTGCATATTTAGTTGGTTTTTATTGCATATTTAGTTAATATGACTTGCATATGTATTTCATATGTGTTGCATATTTAGTTCATATGAGTTGCATATTGTGTGGTTAATGCTTAGTTCATCTGTTGTGCATGTTTACTTCTTATGTGCTGCATATGTACACCTATTTTGATGCATATTTAGTTGATTTTGAATGCTTATGTGCTTATAATTTGTCCATTTTTTTATATCTTTCTCTATTTAACAGGTTTACAGATCAAAGCTTCTGAGAAAAGTTGCCTGTTTGGCCACTGATGTTGTTGATGTTATTTCGTTGCTTCAAGATGTACCTGAGGAGGTGACATCTGATGAGAATTACAAGAAGATTCATGAAGCAACGAAGAATCCCATTTCTTCCAATTCAGAGAATCCTGAATCTTCACAAAGACCTGCTGCTACAGATGATTTTGATGACAGCGAGAAAACGAATGCTTTCTGGAATAACCCAGAAACCATTGCAGCAATCGAGAAGATTGAGCGAGCCATTGAAAAGAGAGCTCAATTCAAAAAGACAATGGATGATATTTCGAGTTTTTCTTTGGGAATTGGGTTGTCTCAAGAAAGTGACCGGAGTTGGGATGATGTTCTTAATATTTCTAAGCAATTTTCTGAAGATCCATTGAATGTTGATGATATTCGAGGTGAAAGAACAATCCCTAATGTTGCTGTTGAAGCGCCTTTTGCGGAACCAGCTGCTGAGACTCATGTTTTTGTTGAAGTGCCTGTCAAAGCGCCAACTTCTGATGAAGTCCCTGTCAAAGTGCCAATTTCTGAACCAGTTGTTGAAGTGCCTGTTGCGGAAACAGCTGTTGAGACTCATGTTTCTGTTGAAGTGCCAACTTCGATAATTTCTGATGTTCCTATTGAATCAACAATTGCTGTGCAGCATGTTTGTGTTCAAGAAGTAGCTCTCGATAATGTTCAAGAAGCGGTTGTTGAGATGGAGATTGAAAGAGAGAAATTGAAAGAGAAGGAGATTGCGATAGAGGAAGAGAAAGAGAAAGAGAAAGCGCAGGAGATAGATAAGGTGACAGATTGGGGGAAATGTTGTTTCTATTTATTCTATTTTGTATTTTTATGCACTTTAATAGTTATGTATTTGGTTGCAGTTTGTGGTAGCTGAGGATGAAAATTTGTTGAAGAAAGAGAAAGAGAAGAAGAAACAAAAAAAGAAAGTTCAGTTTGTTGAAGAAAAAAGAGAAAGAGAAGAAGAAAGACCTGTGAAGATGCTGAGGAGACTAAGAAAGTACCAAAGGTCAAAGAAAGTTCAGATTGTGACGGCCACGGATAAGGATACACATTTGGTTGATGTTCTAGAGCCAAGTGTTGTTTTCAATTGGATTGTTGAAGATGCTGAGGAGATTAAGTAACTTTGCCTACTTATCTATATTAATTTTAATTTTTCATATCCTACTTACAACTACTTATAATTAATTATTATATTTTTCTTTTAGGTTTGATGTAATTTTTAAATTTGGTGATGCTATGATCATGAAAGAGCAGCTTGAATCCTTGAAAGTTGATGGGTATCTTACGGTTGGTGTTCTTGATATATAGACAACAATTCTGAATGCTAAAGAAAAATTTAGGAAATCTGGCTGTCCTCTGAGATTTTTTTCATCTACCTATATGAGTGTAAGTTTATTTTTTATTTTTGCCAACTGTTTTTGATATTCTAGTTGTTGGTAGATGTGTATATTTATTAGTTTTATATTGTTGTTATTTCAGTTCTTGATATATGCATAGATAATGTATTTTAGATGCATAACTAACTGTTCATT